ACACATACATACATACACATACACACACATACATACACATGCACACACACATACACACACATACACACACACACACACACATACACACACATACACACACATACACACACATACACACACACACACATACACACACATACACATTCACATACACACACATATACACATTCATATACACATAGACATATGCATACACATACATATAAATATATGTCTATATGTATACACATACATATGTAGGTATATGTGTATGTATATGAGTATGCATGTGCACTAGTGAAATTGATGAAACAGGTGGTTGGGCCCAGTCAATGTGTATGTGAGTGTCTGACTTTCTTCCTTTCTTTTCTCTCTGGCTCACAAAGAATCAACAAACCCCAAGCCCCTTGTCTGGCCAGTGAGGGGCCCTTGAGTCAGAGAGAAAAGAGCCCAAACTCAGACTTTTTCTCTTAATCCCCTGCTGCTCTTGGCAGAAGTTAAATTGGCAGATGCCCCGGCTTCTGACCCCAGAATGCTAAGAAAGAACCAAAGCTCAGCAGCTCTTGACCCTTGATTGCTGATGCTGTACCCCTTTTGCTGCCTGCCTCAGTTTAGCCTGTGATGTTGAAGCTGTCTTTTTGACAGGGGTGGAGTAAACCAATCACCCCCTGATGGTCTTCTGGTAAAGTCTTACCCTCTCCCCAGTACTTCACAAGGTGACTGTGTTTGGAGATGGGGCTATAATGGTTAATACTGCTTGTCAACCTACAGGGCTAATAGAACCTAGGAGACAGACCTCTGAACATGTCAGTGAGGAAGTTACATTAGGTCACTTGAAGTGGGAAGACCTACCCTGAATGTGGGTGGTAGGACACCAAGGGCTAGAGTCCTGTCTGCAAAGAAGGCTGGGAGCTGACCACCGGCATTCATCACTGTCCTCCCTGTGGATCCCATGTGACCAGCTGCCTCATGCTCCTCCGGCACCAGGCCTGCCATGACGATTGTACCCTTAAACTGTGAGCCAGAATACCCCCCCATAAGTTGCTTTCTGTCAGATATTCTGTACTTTATCTTTAAAACTGTTACTGAAGTTAAATGAGTCCATGACGGAGACTGAGTCCAGGGTGGCTCATGTCCTTAAGGAGGAGATCTGGACACAGACAGGGACAGACAGACAGGGACAGAGGGAAGACTGTGAAAGCTCAGACTTCCAGAAGTAAATGTTCAGTTGAAGGCACAGTTAGAGTTTAGGATCCACTGACTATTATGGAATATGATACAGTGCCGGGGGGCAGGTACCTGGTGGGCCCATGCCAAGGTGCCTCCTGAGAAATCACACAATGCAGCAGACCTGGTATAAAGGGAGGGTGATTAGGGGAAGAGTGGGGAGTAAGGGCCTGGAGAAGTGATAGTCAGACGAGAGCAGAGCCATGAGGGCAGAGAAGTGGGGATGGAGAGACAGAAAAGGACAGAAAGGACAAAGGGAGAGAGAGGCCAGCTGGAAACACATGGGAATAGAGAGAGAACTGGGGTGGTGAGCAGTCTTTTATGTGCTGCCTGCACCTGGCAATGGCACATAATGGCAGCAGGTGATGACGGAAGCTGTTGCTAGGTCCCTGGGAGGAGCCTAGCAGCAGCATCTGTAAGCCAACAATGACCCCCAATGTCACCCCCCAGTCCTTGCTGCCAAGCTGACTAAGGCAGCAATAGGACGATGCTCAGAACTGATGAGTCTCTAGACCACTGCCTTGGTTTACCCTCATTGCATGATTCCCTCTGCCCACACGGCCTTGTCCCCGCTCCCGAAACATGTCCATATGATGGTCTCCTGACCTCTCAGGCACCAACCAGAGAAAGCATGGGACAAAAATATTAGAGTATCTACTCAGGAGCTGGTCTTAAACTAGTCTGTTATTTTACTGAGTCCTCTAGTCCTCCCAAAATAGAATGTTCAAATTCAGCTTTGAACCTGCCGTACAATGGCAGAGAAAATCAAGTGTGACCTGTATGTATGTGTGTATGTATGTATGTATGTATGTAGATAGATAGATAGATAGATAGATAGATAGATAGATAGATAGATGACAGATGGATTAGATATAGGTATAGATATGTATAGATGTGTATTGTTTTGAATATTAATGATAGTAGCCTTGCAGTATCTGCCATGAATAACATGTACCATGAAATGTTTATTTGTTGTGCTTCTTCCTATAAGGCAGAAATAGAGTTTTGCACAGAAAAACTGCCTACAAGATTACATCAGGCTACACCAAACAATGAGTGTCTACAGAAAGCATATGTAATGATTTTCATTCAGTCATCAGACATTTGCTGAGTCACGCCAGTCTGCTTCAGCCACCTGGATGAAGTAGGGAGCAGGATAAATCCCCTCCATGCTACTGGGGAGGGCAGATACAGCATGAAACGTCATTGCCTGTGACAGGTAGAAACAGTGCAGGCAGAGGGGGAAAGGGCTGGGCCTGGGGAGGGCAGCTCCTTGGTAGTGGTTCTTAGGGCTCACAAACAGAGAGGAGGGGCCTGGAGGAAGTCAAGGGCAGACTATGTAAGGGTGCAGCTAGTAAGATGAGACTGGACTGGTAGGGCTGTCATTTCCAAATGTGGCCACAAGATGGCAGAGTGGTTCAAGACTGGTGGTCTTCTCGGGCCTACTTAGAAGAACTTAGTTCCTTCCTCTCAGTAAGAACTTAATAGGCCTCTCTAAGTTCCAGGGCACCCAAGGAGTGACAGGCACAGCCCTGAAGTGAGCAAAGAGATAGGAGGTCCTACACTCCAACTTAGAGTCTTGCAGTAACTGCAGCTCAGCTCTCCAAGCCAGTTCTGACCTGTTCATCCAGCTGAACTGTGTGTGAACTGTAGTGTTATTCTTAAAGCAAGAGGTCTCTGTTATCAGAGGGACGCTGCTCCTAGAGGTCTTGGGTTGATGGGACCAGGTCCAGCATCCAACTTTTCACCTCAATGCCCTTGACCTCAAACCTGTACACATTTGAAATGTGTCTCAGATCAGTATATATATATATATATATATATATATATATATATATATATATATATGAGCTAGCATTCTAAAGCCAGTAGACAGCAGGTGCACATCCAGAAGCTCCCTCTAAGCAAGTTTCTGAGATGCAGCTTCCTTTCCTGCAAGACAGACAGGTCAGGGTAGCCTGGGCCCAGCCTTCTGGCAGTGAGATGGGGTGTATCAGTAACCTCCAGACATCCCATGATGTCTTTGAGAGGAACCTCCAGGGTCAGAATCACTGTAATGCCGTCCCCTGTCTGTGTAGACTACACAGAGTCCTTCAAAGAAAGGAGTAGTTTTGCATGTGTACATATGTGCACGAACATGTATGAGATGAGGGAAAGATGGAGTAGAGAACACAAGGCCTCCACAGCCAGGCAAGGCTGCAGCAGAAGCACCAATGAAGGCTCCTTGATCTTGGGATACATGGTCCTGCTGCCCTGCTCACCACTTGGTGGCGGTCACTAACTGCTCTTTGATGTTTGGAGGTTTGTTTTAGGATTTTTGTTGTTGTTGTTGTTGTTGTTGTTATTGTTGTTGTCAGTGGTGGTCATAGTGGTGGTGGTAGCGGGTTTATTTGGTTTCGTTTTTAGATGGGTGTTGCTACGTAGCTTGCTCTGCCCTTGAACTTGGTTCCTTCAGTCTCTGGAATGCTGGAAGTGAATCACCATATCCCAGTTAACTGTTGTGCTTTTTAAAAATGTCAAGCATATTCTGGCTCCTAGGGCTTGTGTTGGGAATCCCGATGTAGCTTCCAGGATGCCCCCAGCCAGAACTGCTTTCTTCTTTGGGTCAGGATGTCCTGCAGTTTCCCCACCTGCCTGCCTTTCACCTCCCTGCCTGCCTCATGAGAACACAGGGGCCTTAACTTGATACGGATATGGTATTGGGGTTTCTGTCACCTGCACTTTCCATCCCCTGTCTGTGTAGACTACACAGGGTTCTTCAAACAAAGAAGTAGTTTTGAATGTGTGCATATGTATGAGGCGAGAGAGAGAGAGAGAGAGAGAGAGAGAGAGAGAGAGAGAGAGAGGTCAACTCAGTTATCCTGACTCCGTCAGATTTGGGTACTGTGGTAGTAAATCACAATTCTTCCTACCAGGACCTTTTCCTGCTCCTTCAGCCAGAATAGGCCCTGCCTTCCCTCATGGCCACCTTAAAGGCCTTGTGCTTGCTACTGTTTGGCAGTGTCTTCTTGTTTCGTAGCGTGCATTTAAGATCCCGAAAGTGAGGTCTGGGAGCACTGTCCTTCTGGGAGGATATCCTTTAGAAGCCATCTGTGCTCAACAAGTTGTAAAGGTCATGCCTCATAGCTGAAGGTCAAGAGGGACAGGAAGCAGTTGGACACTCTGGGCTTCTCCCAGTCCCCAGGCTTGCTTGCCCTGGTAAATGGAAACAACCTTGGCTTTAAAATGTGCTCTTGCTCCCTCTCTCCCTCCCTCTCTCCCTCCTCTTCTTTTATGTTCTGGTTGAGTCAATCAGAGTGGCAAGTGTGTGTGTGTTCCTGTGCTGGGAAGAAGGGGACAGATAGGTGGCTCCTAAGGTGCAGTCAGAGGTATCAACAAAGGACCACTGTGTCCCGAAAGACCCAGGATAAACGGTCCTATGGCTGTGTGCTGGAGCACCTTGTCCTACAAAGGGATTTCCTCTTACAGGCAATGCTGAAGCTGAACCCAGGGTATGGGGAACAGCAGAGTTCTAGTCAGTACTGACCTCCACTGGCCTAGTGTTTTTGAGGATGAGGGAGAACCCCTCTCCATTCGCTCCTGAGTTAGGACCT